CTATTGGGTACACGAGTATAAACTGTTTCCTCACACTCCGAAGAGTATACGAGTATAAACTGCTCCTCGATACTCCAACAGGTATATGAGTCTAAACTATTTCCTTTCTTTCACGGGAAATTCCTGGAGAGCGTCATGTATAGTACTCTTAAGGATAACCTGATCATGCAGCTGAATATAATGATAGACCCAGTTTCACAAAGGAAGCTGGGGGTGGATGGTTCATGTAACGGGAAGTTCTCGAAAGAATGCTATATGTAATTTTCTTAGGGATAACCCGATCATTACAAACAAGGTGATAAACACTACATCCCCACGGTGATTTCTGAATACTCTTTTGCTGAGATGAGATTCGATCACTTTTTTAGATCAATCTTCCCTCACAAAACTCATATTTGGTCAAACCTTTAAACAGTTAGGACCAAAGCCAAAATCCCCTCTCGATTCGTTCCATGAACGAGAGGTCCACAAATTGAACGATCAAACCTTTAAACAGTTAGGATCGTCTCAAATTCCCATCTTGGTCAAACCTTTAAACAGTTAGGACCAAAGCCAAAATCCCCTCTCGATTCGTTCCATGAACGAGAGGTCCACAAATTGAACGATCAAACCTTTAAACAGTTAGGATCGTCTCAAATTCCCATCTTGGTCAAACCTTTAAACAGTTAGGACCAAAACCAAAATCCCCTCTCGATTCGTTCCATGAACGAGAGGTCCACAAATTGAACGATCAAACCTTTAAACAGTTAGGATCGTCTCAAATTCCCATTTTGGTCAAACCTTTAAACAGTTAGGACCAAAGCCAAAATCTCCTCTCGATTCGTTCCATGAACGAGAGGTCTACAAATTGAACGATCAAACCTTTAAACAGTTAGGATCGTCTCAAATTCCCATCTTGGTCAAACCTTTAAACAGTTAGGACCAAAACCAAAATCCCCTCTCGATTCCTTCCATGAACGAGAGGTCCACAAATTGAACGATCAAACCTTTAAACAGTTAGGATCGTCTCAAATTCCCATCTTGGTCAAACCTTTAAACAGTTAGGACCAAAGCCAAAATCCCCTCTCGATTCGTTCCATGAACGAGAGGTCCACAAATTGAACGATCAAACCTTTAAACAGTTAGGATCGTCTCAAATTCCCATCTTGGTCAAACCTTTAAACAGTTAGGACCAAAGCCAAAATCCCCTCTCGATTCGTTCCATGAACGAGAGGTCCACAAATTGAACGATCAAACCTTTAAACAGTTAGGATCGTCTCAAATTCCCATCTTGGTCAAACCTTTAAACAGTTAGGACCAAAGCCAAAATCCCCTCTCGATTCGTTCCATGAACGAGAGGTCCACAAATTGAACGATCAAACCTTTAAACAGTTAGGATCGTCTCAAATTCCCATCTTGGTCAAACCTTTAAACAGTTAGGACCAAAGCCAAAATCCCCTCTCGATTCGTTCCATGAACGAGAGGTCCACAAATTGAACGATCAAACCTTTAAACAGTTAGGATCGTCTCAAATTCCCATCTTGGTCAAACCTTTAAACAGTTAGGACCAAAGCCAAAATCCCCTCTCGATTCGTTCCATGAACGAGAGGTCCACAAATTGAACGATCAAACCTTTAAACAGTTAGGATCGTCTCAAATTCCCATCTTGGTCAAACCTTTAAACAGTTAGGACCAAAGCCAAAATCCCCTCTCGATTCGTTCCATGAACGAGAGGTCCACAAATTGAACGATCAAACCTTTAAACAGTTAGGATCGTCTCAAATTCCCATCTTGGTCAAACCTTTAAACAGTTAGGACCAAAGCCAAAATCCCCTCTCGATTCGTTCCATGAACGAGAGGTCCACAAATTGAACGATCAAACCTTTAAACAGTTAGGATCGTCTCAAATTCCCATCTTGGTCAAACCTTTAAACAGTTAGGACCAAAGCCAAAATCCCCTCTCGATTCGTTCCATGAACGAGAGGTCCACAAATTGAACGATCAAACCTTTAAACAGTTAGGATCGTCTCAAATTCCCATCTTGGTCAAACCTTTAAACAGTTAGGACCAAAGCCAAAATCCCCTCTCGATTCGTTCCATGAACGAGAGGTCCACAAATTGAACGATCAAACCTTTAAACAGTTAGGATCGTCTCAAATTCCCATCTTGGTCAAACCTTTAAACAGTTAGGACCAAAGCCAAAATCCCCTCTCGATTCGTTCCATGAACGAGAGGTCCACAAATTGAACGATCAAACCTTTAAACAGTTAGGATCGTCTCAAATTCCCATCTTGGTCAAACCTTTAAACAGTTAGGACCAAAGCCAAAATCCCCTCTCGATTCGTTCCATGAACGAGAGGTCCACAAATTGAACGATCAAACCTTTAAACAGTTAGGATCGTCTCAAATTCCCATCTTGGTCAAACCTTTAAACAGTTAGGACCAAAGCCAAAATCCCCTCTCGATTCGTTCCATGAACGAGAGGTCCACAAATTGAACGATCAAACCTTTAAACAGTTAGGATCGTCTCAAATTCCCATCTTGGTCAAACCTTTAAACAGTTAGGACCAAAGCCAAAATCCCCTCTCGATTCGTTCCATGAACGAGAGGTCCACAAATTGAACGATCAAACCTTTAAACAGTTAGGATCGTCTCAAATTCCCATCTTGGTCAAACCTTTAAACAGTTAGGACCAAAGCCAAAATCCCCTCTCGATTCGTTCCATGAACGAGAGGTCCACAAATTGAACGATCAAACCTTTAAACAGTTAGGATCGTCTCAAATTCCCATCTTGGTCAAACCTTTAAACAGTTAGGACCAAAGCCAAAATCCCCTCTCGATTCGTTCCATGAACGAGAGGTCCACAAATTGAACGATCAAACCTTTAAACAGTTAGGATCGTCTCAAATTCCCATCTTGGTCAAACCTTTAAACAGTTAGGACCAAAGCCAAAATCCCCTCTCGATTCGTTCCATGAACGAGAGGTCCACAAATTGAACGATCAAACCTTTAAACAGTTAGGATCGTCTCAAATTCCCATCTTGGTCAAACCTTTAAACAGTTAGGACCAAAGCCAAAATCCCCTCTCGATTCGTTCCATGAACGAGAGGTCCACAAATTGAACGATCAAACCTTTAAACAGTTAGGATCGTCTCAAATTCCCATCTTGGTCAAACCTTTAAACAGTTAGGACCAAAGCCAAAATCCCCTCTCGATTCGTTCCATGAACGAGAGGTCCACAAATTGAACGATCAAACCTTTAAACAGTTAGGATCGTCTCAAATTCCCATCTTGGTCAAACCTTTAAACAGTTAGGACCAAAGCCAAAATCCCCTCTCGATTCGTTCCATGAACGAGAGGTCCACAAATTGAACGATCAAACCTTTAAACAGTTAGGATCGTCTCAAATTCCCATCTTGGTCAAACCTTTAAACAGTTAGGACCAAAGCCAAAATCCCCTCTCGATTCGTTCCATGAACGAGAGGTCCACAAATTGAACGATCAAACCTTTAAACAGTTAGGATCGTCTCAAATTCCCATCTTGGTCAAACCTTTAAACAGTTAGGACCAAAGCCAAAATCCCCTCTCGATTCGTTCCATGAACGAGAGGTCCACAAATTGAACGATCAAACCTTTAAACAGTTAGGATCGTCTCAAATTCCCATCTTGGTCAAACCTTTAAACAGTTAGGACCAAAGCCAAAATCCCCTCTCGATTCGTTCCATGAACGAGAGGTCCACAAATTGAACGATCAAACCTTTAAACAGTTAGGATCGTCTCAAATTCCCATCTTGGTCAAACCTTTAAACAGTTAGGACCAAAGCCAAAATCCCCTCTCGATTCGTTCCATGAACGAGAGGTCCACAAATTGAACGATCAAACCTTTAAACAGTTAGGATCGTCTCAAATTCCCATCTTGGTCAAACCTTTAAACAGTTAGGACCAAAGCCAAAATCCCCTCTCGATTCGTTCCATGAACGAGAGGTCCACAAATTGAACGATCAAACCTTTAAACAGTTAGGATCGTCTCAAATTCCCATCTTGGTCAAACCTTTAAACAGTTAGGACCAAAGCCAAAATCCCCTCTCGATTCGTTCCATGAACGAGAGGTCCACAAATTGAACGATCAAACCTTTAAACAGTTAGGATCGTCTCAAATTCCCATCTTCGCCAATAGCCGCGGCAGTGTAGACTGCAGCGGCCAAAGAGAAATCAATCGGTCAGTTATTTCGCCCCCGTTTCAACTGTGGTGCACTGAAACCCCTATAAATACCTCCCTAAACACGAAGCAAAGGACAGAGAGCATCAAAGAGGGCTGATTAGAGAGCATTATTAGAGCAGAAAAGGCTTAAGCTTTTGGTGAATTAGAGCAAAAGAGAGAGTCTTCCTTCTTCACAAACATCTTCAAGAAGCTTTTGGCGATTCCTAGAGATCTAAGCTCTGACTTGATCTTTAGAAGAGTGAACATCTTACATCGATAAGATATTCGCTTCAAATTCTTACTTCGATGAACGAAGCAAGAATCATTAAACCCCTCACGGTTCAATCAGAATCTGTGATTTGGTGGTCCACGAGTCAAAGCGCTCCCGGCACAGGCAAAGATCCCACGCAAGCAGCGATCCAAACAACGATCCTGCGTTTGTTTCTAAAAAGTTATAATTTTCCTTTTGTTGTGTAAAAGAAGTCTTACAAAAAGACTATCTCTTTTGAATTTGTTGTAATCGACCGAAGATATAATGAATTCCATAACAAAACCAACTTTTGACGCAAACAATGGCATGTTTTTGACAGATTTGCATATGATGATTCAAACAACCTAGAATGGCAAAATATCTCTAAAGTCTTAGCCATTTTACTCTTATGCTAGTTATGCATTGTCCCAAATAAAAAAATTTAAACATATAAGAAATTGATACAGCTGGTCCTCAATCCCATGAATATAAAGTATGAAAACCAAAAATATTTAACATCAATTAATTAACAAGAAATCATACACATAATAGGAAAAATTTGCAACTTACCTCAACCTCCATGGCACTAAACCCAAAACCCGAATCCCCTTCAACCGCAACAACCAATCTCCCTGGTGAAGCAACTGCAGCTGCAACGCAGTACCCTAAACCAACCCCCATAGTCCCCCAAGTTCCTGCATCCAACCTCGTCCTCGGCTCATTTTGAATCAATACCGCTCTCCCAACATCCATTGTGTTTGCACCCTCTGACACCAGTACTGGAGCAGGACTCCCTTCTGCAAGAATTGCGTCTCTTATAATCTTCATTGGTGTAAAGAAATTGAAAGGCACCACTTCCTTTGCCAACTGTGCCTCCATCTTTGCCACATTATCCTTTACCTTCTTACTTATGGCCTCAACCCAAGGATGAGACTTCCCAAAACTGAAAGGATTGTCCTTAATCTCCACATTGATCATATCAAGAACTTGTTGTGCATCACCTACCAAGCCCAAGTGAGGCTTCCGAAGATCAATCTCTTCCTTAGATATATCAACTAATATAAACTTCACATCTTTAGACCATTTAGGAGGCTCACCAAAGTGTAACAACCAATTAAGACGTGCACCAACAACTAAGGCAACATCACACTGGCCAATAGCTAAAGATCGAGCAGCGGTTGCAGCTAGCTCATGAGTATCCGGAACCAATCCTTTTCCCATGGGAGTTGGAAGAAAAGGAATTCCCGTAATATCGATTAATTTCTTTAAGGCATTCTCTGCCCGAGCATATGCTGCGCCTTTTCCAAATACAATCAAAGGCCTCTCTGCCTTCCTAAGCAAAGAAACAGCTGATTGGATATCTTGGTTTTCTGAAACTCTACATTCTTGAATCCTTGGAAATTGCGACTCTGCTAAAAGCCTAGTAGCATCTGCTTCCGATATTTTCTGGTGTAAGACGTCAGATGGGAGGTCCAAATAGCAACCACCAGGCCGACCGGATATGGCATTGTTTATAACTTCGAAGACCAATCGTGGAATTTGAGAGATGTCAGTGGCTTTTGCTGCGAGTTTCACAAAGGGCTTCACCGCCACAATCTGATCCAGTTCCTGCAATCATAACTCACAAGTTTGGTGATAATGTTAACTGGTCAGGATTAAAATTCAGAAAGAGGGAAATTATAGAAAAGCATTCCAAAGCAATAAAAGTACCATAAAACTTTTAAGAAACTACGATGTGGTGTGTAAAATTGCTAAATTTAATTTCTTCAGTACAGAAAACATAAGATAAGTAGACCAAAACCTTAACATCTCATACAATAATACGCATTTTGTCGTTTGAAAATTCAAAAAATTATGAATAGTTTACAAAGCAAAATAATCTCAAACCCACAATACTTTTTTCTTTAAACTAAGTGAACAGTAAAGAGGTGTGAAGTGTGAGATAAATTTGTCAAGGGAAACCACGTCAGTCATAAAGAATTTTATTAAATTTGACTCGAAAATAAAGAAAGGTTAAGCTATTTCATATGAAAAAGAGAATTAACTTTTGGGAATTGTACAAATATTCCAAGTAAGTAGTAATATGACAAATCTTAATCTATGAATTAGAAAACGAAGATGATATTAAATAGACATAACTCATTCATGGATTTTTCAATTCTGAATACGAGTATGTGATGTAGAGCTGGATGCATTGACCTACCTTCAGTTTGATCCCCAAAAAAAAAAATGCAGCATATCTTCCGCTCCATATCGAAATAAACCTATTACCTCTCACTTTTAAGCTACAGAGAGAAACAGAGTTTGCTGTGTACAATCATAACACTACCTAAATTTTAAGCACTTGTAATAGGGTAAAGTCTCTGATTCTCTATTTTCTTTACTAGTTTTGGTAACTTTTGTTAGTTAACTAGAACTCCTTTCCAATCTCGTCTTCCAATAGCCTGCTTAGTTGTAACGAACTTTTAGGTACGATCAAATTTTTCCTTTTCTAGTTTTAGTATATTTCTTGTCTAAGTCTATTGGCTACAAACTTGGATATTCATAAATATGTTTTGAACCAAAATTCTTTCTCGAAATCAAACCTTTTGGTGACTTCTGATTCTCTCATTATTGGAAACTTTGGTTCCAATAATTTTTGGCACTCCTAATCTATACAAGTATAATAAACTGAAGCCACAATCACACATAAAATATAGCTACAATTTATTTCAACAACTAACAGTAGTACAGTACCCACCACCCAATAATTAGTGCATAACTCACGAATATCCCAATAATCCAGATTCCAGATTAGTTAACAGAAATGATCGCTCACACACTGGTAATCAAGCTATGACAATTTATACGTACAACCTGAATAATTAAGGACTTTTTTCCAAAAAATTGTAGTAGGTGTGAGAAGCTATCTTTAACTGGATTACTTTGACCACCAGAAAGCATTATGACTCTAATGCATACGCCTAAATGTCAAAGGGGTACAAATCCTAATTTTTCATTCTAGCCACAATTTATAGTATCTTTTTGGTAGCTAATTAGGACCACTTCCAATTTCAGATTCTCATTAGATTTGAACCTGGACTGCTGAGTTCGCCACAATTTCTTCTTTTAGATGCCATCAGTTTTTAAGTGTGCTAGTTCTAGTAGATTTATTGCCCTAAGCTTACGGCTTCAATCTTGGTATCCATAACATATTTCTCTAATTAACATTCTTCCTTTATCTCTTTCAAATAAATTTCACTCCCCATCATTCTTTTTGCTTATGTTCTCCACGAAAAAAATCAATCCAACTACTGACCAGTGTATAATTCTCATATTTCCCAATAATTCACAAACATTTAAAAACGTTGGTAGTAACTAAAGAACAGATTGCACCTTTATCTTTTACCTGGAAATCTCCTCTCCCAAAATCCCTCTGATCGCAAGATCCCGAGATCATCACCGCCGGCCAAGCCATTCGCCTGAGCGTTGGCAAGTTCCGGCGACCGTGCGACTTGCAGCCGGGGCCGGCAGACGGTGAGGAAGGACACCTGGAGCTCCGCGATAGGTAGCCGTAGGCGGTGCCAGCGTAACCCCGCTGACTGTCGTTGTGGAACGCTCGATGATCGGACGCCGGCGGCCACCGCTAGTGAGTCGGCGACGGACGGTGACGGGGCATCCGACCGACGCCGAACATGTCGCCGTCACTTCGCCGCGGCGTAGCGGAGCGGGCGACGAGGGTACGGCGCGTCGATTTGGCGAGGGGAGAGGTCGCCATTGATGGTGGGTGGAGGTTGATTAGGTTGAGGGTTTTCGGGGGGAGTGAGGATTTGGGGTGGGGGGTTTTGGCTATTTTATAGTGCTCCGCGGAGCAGTGGATGCTGACGCTGTTTCTGTATTGTGCGAGCAGCTACTTTTTCATAATTGTAGATGATGAATCTCGTACACAATGTTCTAAGGGTGAATTTCAAAAAACACCCTGAACTTTGGGCCTCGTTGAAAAACAAACCGATGAAAACAATGTTTGGGAAATCCACAAAACCCCGCAACTTGTCTCACTTTGCTATACACCGTGAAGTTTAACTTGTCAGTGATAAAAAAAATCTACATTTGTGTTAGATTGCAAGTAAAGTTTCATGAGTACTCTTATTTTTCATCCCCTCTTTTTTTAAAAGAATATTTTTAATCTTCATTAATGATAAATTCCCATTGTTCAGCCTCTGTTTACATCTTCCAAAGAAATAATTTTTGAAATTTTCAAAGGTCTTTTTTGGATTTTACAAACTCTATAATGGTACAGTGCAAAACTCTCCAAAATTCCATAGGAGTTTCTGAAATTGGCTTTGCAATTTATCACCGTTTTGTCAACTTTTATGGGAGAGGAAGTGGAAGGATACAACATAGAACAATGAAAATATTAACAAAGACTATGCATGATTCTCAACATCATAATGGAAGCACTTTAAGAGAAATCATTGCATGTTCAATCACATGAGATAAAGGTTTTAAAAAATGTGAATAGGTTGGAAGAATCTTTAAGGAAAAATAACAAAAAAGGTCTAATAATCTGAACACTTTTATTTTGTAGTTTTCATATCATTACTGAAGTAAGTGATAATAGTGATTGATAACATACGACCTTACTCCAGCGGAGAAGAAAAAACCAAAAGCCGACGAATAGAAATTTGTAGCGAAAATAAAGTTGGAGGGCCTTGATGCAAAATAGCTCGTCCCTTGACTCCCTGGCGCTTGTTACTCTGCATCCCTATGCGATTCGGATGCGGTGCACCGCGGAATAGCATACCAAAGTGCTAACAGCAAGCTCATCCATTTGAGGCATATGCTAATTACGTCTGAGCTGCTGAGCAGCACCCCACTATCGAAAGTAAGAAATAAAACTACAATACTGCCCACGGATAGAATCTGAATGTTTGGGAGTGAGAAGGGTAATTTTGAGATTTCTGACGGCGGCTTAAGCAGCAGACGACTTAGAGTATTGTTGATTGGGTCCTGTGTTTGACTCAAACATGGAATATGTACAGGACTAATTATGAGAAGCGTACTTAGAGAGTAATCCTTGAGAAATACTCCGTGCGAAGCATAGATTACTGAACATCATCACAACTATACAGTGCGGAATCATAAGTAACTAAACATCATCACAACTATACAGTGCGGAGTCATAAGTAACGGGCAACATTACAATGGAGTTATATATGACCGAGTAGTGATAACTGTACATACGAGTTATACTAATTTTGTATTTTTACATATAAAAAAATAGAATCTTTCTTTATAGATTGGAAAAAGAGATCTTGACTCGTTATAGACTTCACTTCTTTGTGTCTAGTAGTACAAGAATAATATAACTGTTACTACACTTAATTAGCATTTTTTATTAATCAATTAACAAACAATTATGATTTATCTTGAGTACAAAGTGAGAATTGAGTAAAATTCAGAAAGATATGACTACATTTATATTTGACAATAATGAAATATGATAATTTTAATTAGGTAACTATAATTTGAGAAGTGATTGCTTTTATTGCCAAGGGTTTTACTAATCACTGTCCTAAGATCAATAGATAAAGAGGGGGGAGAGAGAGAGGTGTGGGTGAAGAGAGAGAATGAGCGGCAAACATCGAACCCCACTCATCTTTTCTTTCTCTCTCTTTTCTTCTTATTCATTGCCTTTTGAGCGATGGTTAGCAAAACCTACAAATATGAAGTTGGCAGTTTGAAGTTCCAAGGTTTGCAATATGTTATATTCTATAGTTAGTTTAAAACTAAGTTACCAAGTTTTTTTAGAAGAACAATTAAAAACAAAAGAGCAACTAACATGGTATAGGGATCATACATGAATCAGTGAATGATAATAGTCCTAATGAATGCCTCAACCAATTTAATATCAAGTACTCACAAGAAAGACTATTTCGTTAAAACCACATAATGAGAAAAGGCAGTAAATGAAATATCATACAACACCTTGACGTTGTTCATAGTCACTGAATTATAATGGTAAGACAACATCCAGAAAAAACAAGAAACAAAGGTACACAAAAAAGGACAAAAGAGAATAATCGATCATAAGTTGACATTCCAGTCAAAAACACACCAAACTTACAGCACCAAGGATATAGTCATATATGTAAACACTTCAATTCTATCAAAAAAAAACTACAGAATAGAAACAACATAACCAATCCAAGCAAGGCTTTAACTTCACTAAATCCAATCACAAAAAAGCTTTAAAAGGAGATATTTATCATAAACTGCCCATCCAGTGAAACACAAAAATTTCATCACCAAGAATACAGTCAGATGTTAAACACTTCAATTCTATCAAAACTCTCAATTTTATAAGCTTTTTAGCCTTCATTGTTAGGGGAAGGTGGCAAATCTTCAGGTGGAGGATCATCAGTAGGATGATTCTCGGGTAAAGATGCAGGAGGCTCTTGCTCGCCGTTTTCATTGGAATCAGGATGAAAATTAATAGGGAACTTGGTAACACGAGGTTTATCAGCGAGGATATTTCTTTGAACTCTATCGATTAATACTTTTGATGGTGGTTCTAATCTGAGTTGTTCATCATCATAGTCATTGTTAACATAGTACCCTACTCTGATGAACTCTTGGCCCAAATAAGAGCAGGTAAGTAGAAGAACTGTAACACCTATGATGTCTTCATCTCGGATCTTCGAAGGATCTGGAGGATCTGCCTGAAAAGAAAAGGGAAAGATGGCATAAATAATATTGCTGATATAAGTAAATGAGGTATTTCAAAATATTAATATAAATTATCAGAATTACCTCAAAGACGAAACGGTAATTGCCAACGTTTACAGGGCCGACAAGAACGCTTTCAAGAAGTTGGTCATATGTCTCATCCTCAGCAGATCCAACATAGATGAGTTTCCATTCCAAGTCTGCGAGATGATTGACAGAGAAGCTTTGGATATAGTACGGAAAAGAATCCTAGTGCAGGGCACAGTAATTTCAAATAGAAAAAGAAGTAGAGGGAAAAAAGAAGCAACCACGAACTTGTTCTCGTTCAACCAAGTAATATAGATGGTCCAGTATAAGCATTGCAACTCTCAGGAAACTTAAACTACATATCTCATGTTTAGCAAAGATCGAGATTAATGGCTTTGTGCTAACACTTGCTTTCTCATTTCTCTTTTTCGTAGTTCAAACATATAATTGGAGTCTCCTACATGTGAATAACAACTGATTGCTTTAAGTTATTTTACTCTTTTAGTTTTTCTATATGTGAATAACAACTCAATACATATATTTAGATACACATAAATATAGCTGTATCCTCGTGTCTAGCTACTGAAGGGTTTCCCTGTGCGACAATGTCCTTGTCAAAATTTCATAATTGTGTTCATGTCTACAAATCAGTAAAGTTGACAGATTTGCTCTTGCCTAAATTACCATATGGACACTTTTGACAGTGTTGATTGCAAACAGAAATTAGTGAGAAAAGATTACATAGATGCTAGTTCACAGTAGGATCTTTTGACCCGTGAAAAGGGCATCAGGACATCAAATTTGACCAGCATCTTTCTCTCATTTGCATCTTTCATGGAAAAAAAAGAGGTCAGAAGGAAATGGCTCATAAAATTGATGAGACTATGATAACAAACCAACCGAACAAATCTATATCATGAACTGGACTAGGCCAACATATCAAGCTTTTTTCCCCATTAATGGCCTGTTTGGGTAGAGTGGAAATTACAAATGCCAGGCAGCCTGTATGCTTAGGCTGATATATTTGAAGGTCACCGAGTAAAAATCATGATCTACATCCAATTTAGTTGGACGATTATAGAAAATTTCGAGTAAATAGAAGTCTTGGTGAAATTTTGGCAAGCTACTCAAATGCTACCATAAAATGATAAATAATTGATGACTTAAAGGAATAAAGCACCGATACAAGTCCCACCTGTAACTTTTAACCATATCAATTTTTATACTTTTATTTTTACTTCCATTTTTATTTTATTTTTTTGACAAGAACTCTTACATTCACAGATCACTGCGTCTTTCATTTCTTGGTGAAAAAAATTTCAATTTGGGATGGAAAATCCTACTATATGCTAGTGAAAAGGACATGACTAGAAAAATACCAAATAAGTCATGCCTGATCTCAGAGTCTGGAGGCTAATTCTAGTATTCCACCATCAAAACCTCGTCCAAGAAGTCTACAACACTACTTTCTACTAATAGAAAGTTACAAAAAAAAAAACATTTCCTCTCAACTCATACTCCATAAGCAAACCTCACAAGGTCAAAATAATTCCTCCAAGTAATAAACTAATATTGTGCTTGTATGTTCGCCCATAAGCTATCTACAAAATGATTCCGAAAAAACCAGGTATGACACTTCCTTTCCAAGCAAAAGCTGTTAATAAGATGCAAAACAAATAAAACCACCATCAAGTACACTCATTGTTTTGAAAACCTCCAATAAAAGTGACACTTCTTCTTTTATGAGTTACATATAAAGAATATGATAAGCCCGTAATACTAAGATTTGAAAGCAAGGTCATTATGTGGAGAAATTGACGAAGTCTGTACAATAAACAAACCTCCTTCCTCCATTGTCACACGAGCAGACACACAAAAGCAAAACACAACCACCATCAACCAGTGCACCAAAAGAAGAGCTTGAATTAGCTTGTCCCCCTTACTGTCCTAAGCTTTGCCACTCAAAATTTTATAGTAACGCATCAAGAAATCAATTAAACTACTCCTTACTCTTCTTTTCTTTGCTCCATACTACAAATTAATGCTAACCTGTCAACACCCTGATTTACACTCCAGGTAGGCGAAAACCGCACAAGGAACAAAAGTAGCAATATACAATCCACCTTGAATTTGCACATAGGACTTAATTGTAATCTGTTGAAATATGGATATGATATACCATAGCATAGTAAATTAGCGTAATGTTTAGGGTACACATTTTCATTTGAAAATTAGTCACTTCGCTATAT